CGGGGGGCAGGCCGGCGGAATGGAACCGGGGCTCAGGCAGCGCATGGGGCTGGGGAGCATCGCCCTTGCCCCAGCCCCGCTCTGCCGTGGGACAGGGACACCCACCCCGCAGCAACCGCCCCCCATCGCTGCGGGGCCGGGGCCAGGCAGGGAGGGGGACTGGCTCCCCGCACCCTCCAGCACCCCGTGGGGTCCCGCACCCTGCTGCCAGCTCCCACCCTGGCTGCGCCCGGGGGTCCCAGCCCCTCTCCCGGCCCTTTTACCGCAGCAAGCGTCGTCCCAGGCGCAGGGGCTGGAGGTGCAGAGGTGCAGCGGGGCCGGGGGGCCGGGGTAGGCAGCGAGGCTGTGGCTGTGACCGTGACCATGACCGTGACCGTGGAGGGGCTGCGGCGAGCCGGCGGGGGCAGATGGGAGGTGCTGTGTGGGGAACAGAGCGCAGGGTGTCACGGGGCATCCATGGGGTTGCATCGGGACCAGACCACCCCAAAGGGGACCTGCAAAGTGTCACCCTCTGGGGCGGCTCCAGAAGCAGCTCCCTGGGGAGGGCAGCACCCAGAGGGCTCGGAGCAGCCAGGCAATGGGAGCGCAGGCTCCAGGGGGTGCCCCGAGCCTGTTGGGGTGCTGGTGAGGCCTCCCCGTCACCCCCGGCCGTCTCCTACCTGTGCAGAGCAGGTGGCTGTCGCGGCGTGGGGGAGGAAAGCAGCCACGGCCGCCCCGCGGGGCAGCATCCAGTCGCACCAGGAGCCTGTGCGGGGAGAGGTGGGGAGGGCAGCGCACCAGCTCAGGACCACGCTGGTCCCCAGCCTCGATTTTGGGGAATTGAACCCAGGCATCCCAGTGCTCAGTGGCAAACGTCAGCTGCGCTTCCTCCCAGGGTGGCCCCTGGACCCCATCCTGTCCCCTCCACCCCCCGGGCTGTCACCTGCACTGCCAGCCTCCAGCTTCTGCTTGGCCTCGCGTCTCCATTTTGCCCGTCGGTTTGAGAACCAGACCTGGGGAGGAGGGAAGGGGCTGAGGCTGCCGGCCCCTGCGTCACGGCACCCTCACCCTGGGCAGCGCTCCGGCTCCTT